TATATATATATATATATATATATATATATATATATATATACATATATACATATGTATATATATACCTAGATAGCACAGAGAATTCAAAAAGAATTCAGTCGTATGTCACCAATTCTGAGTTCATTTTTAGATGCAAAAAAAATCTTTTTCACTAAACTGAATTTTGAAAAATTCTTTTTGTATCTGAAAATAAACTCAGAATTGATGATATATGACTGAATTCTTTTTGAATTCTTTGTGCTATCTAGGTATACACACACACACACATACACACACACACACACATATATATATATATATATATATATATATCGCCTTCAATGATACTCTGCGATAACGTGAAGGCATAATTACAGTTAAAAATTGATGAACAAGTCTCGAAAAAATTTATTATGGAAATTATGCATTCATTCTTACAATACCGTTGCGCATCAATGACTTTCAAACACACTCACGCTACGCAATGGTCAATGGCGGAAGGATTGAACACGTGTCAAGTGCAGTCACTAGTTGTTTCGTAATAATTTCATTTCTAGCGTTATAATAATAGCTTAGGGCGTACGCACACTCATATCGACTTATTCTCTTGCACTCATGTTAGTCGTATCGACATAAAACGCAGCATGCTCATTAACTAGAACGTCAGAGGGAATTTTGAATTATTTTGATACCTTTTACCTGATCGTATCGATCGCCTCGAAATGTACCGCTTGACTCTCGGACATCAAACGTCGCTCGAATACAACTATCAGTCTTCGAACATCTATTGCCAGCATGCGCTGCTTGAAATACCTTAGTCTGGGCGACTAGGCATAGTGCCCATCGACGTACACGTGCCTTCTGTACAATGCCTTGAAATCGCCCTGAGCGGTCGAGGCGTCTGGTTCGTTGTGCCGAGGGAAAATCAACGGAACGTTAAACCGTATCTCCCGAGAAAGCATCGAAATCAAAATTATTTTGGCGACTAGTGACGTACATCTTTACACGATCGTGGGTCTTTTTTAATATAACGTTTCTGTACATGTGAAGAATACAGTGTCTGTTCTGAGTAATCAATCTAAAATTAAATAAAAACTGTCCGTCGCTTTTGAGGATTTCGACGAGGTAAGCTCGATTTTTTAATAATTGATTTTTCGTCTGTTTAATGTGTAACTTGTAGTCATTATTAATGAATGCGGAAGACAGTATGTTAATAATGTGTTTGAGATAGTAGACGAAAGAATTTCGAATTAACAGAAGTTTAGTTTCAACAATAGCATAAGGTACATGGCTGGGCACCGTGCGCTAAATTGGGAGATAATTGCTTTGTCTTTACGATAGAAATAGACTGAATTCATTAGGTGCCAACAGACTGCCGCGGTCGCGTTTAATTATTGGTGTTCGTGGTGCTAAGACTTTAAAATTACAGTATACATAAAAACTGACTTCTGTGACTTTTGTGACTTCTGTGACTTCTGTGACTTCGCAGTATTCTAAAATAATAATGCATACGTAACCTTTGACGGCGAGTAGTAGTTATGTAACGCGGAAATCATATTCATTGCGTTAGAAAGATCGTTACATTATGTAATTTAAAGTACCCACAAAAGGAATGGAATTCATTTCAGGAATTAATACATTTTAATTTTATATAATTTGACACAAAAATGTTACATACAATTCAGTCATCGACTCAGTTCAAACAAATTAATTACACTCGTAACGATGGCTTACAGTTCATTATATTTATTTCACTGCATTCTTTCAGTTTTTCTGGCAATGGGTCGCAGGAAAAAGAACTCGAGAAGGATCTCCAGTTTTATTCATAAAACGTGCGAGAGTGAACTGTTGGGAAAATCGAATTTCGACGAAAAAGAACTTGAAGAACAGAAAAAGGAAAATCATCCTGTGCTCGAGAGCGCGATTGACGTTTACGCACGTTTGAAATTGCCACTCGTGCAGTCGATGCACTCTTCGATGCATCATCGATCGTCGGACGACAGTGACGAAGAGGACACGATCGAGCTGAATTTCTGGCCGCGTTTCGTTTTCGCGTCGAACCTGTGTCTCGTCTGCATGGAGCGATCGCGAGAGATCTGCGAATTTTGCGGTATGGTCTCCTATTGCAGCGTCGAGCACAAGAAGCAAGGTCGGTCGAAGCATCGCGACTTGTGCGAGATTCTGACCGAGATCTGCGCCATCGGAGGGAGCTTGTCGTTGTTGCCGGAACTTACCCCGGATGATTATCGTATTTATCGGCTGAAACTGATCGAAATCGTGGAATGCCGCTTGGGTAGATCTCTTGAGCTCTGGGAGAAGGAGATCATTCTCTATCCCCGCGTGTGTCGCAGCTGTCGTAACTTCTCCAAGGCACTGCGAAACTGTCCAGCGTGTCAAGTCGAGTTGTACTGCGATAATCACGATAGCGGACACGAGAAGTGGTGTCGAGAGTTTCAGGTTTTCCGCAGAGTGTTGTTCATGCAGCACGAAAACGGCCACGTAAACCCTGAGATGCCAGATACCTTTCGGGAAAATCCGCTTCACCTCCCGGACGATTTCGATTCGTTAATGGCGCGACTTTACGATTATTCGACCTATTATCGTGGCATGGATTGCTACACGTATTGCAGCCTCTCGCACATATCGACCATTCCGCTGACCGCTTTGTATTCCATGCAAATTTCATGTCAGAACTGGGAGATCATCGACACATTCGTGATCCACGTGATAGGCGCGGAATTTCAGTTCGAAGGCATAAATTTACACGTATGGGAGAAATTATTCCTGCACTTAATTCCGAATTTAAAGCGTCTCCGATTGATGTTCGTCGGCCCGGAATTGAGACTACCGACGGTTCCGTTGAATCTATTAACCGCTGTAAAAATTTGTTCGGCCTGTAAAACGTCTGCTCGTCACGTGAATGTCTCGTTTCATCCGAGTAAATTTTATCACGATTTTTGTCGTTCAAAACTGTTCATAAAACCGGATCTTGTGTGTCTCTTTAACCCGGGTCTTTATCGGGAAACGGGTTTCGAAGGTAAAGACACGTGGCCGGAAACGATAAGGGAATTCTGTAAAACCAGAGTTCCTGTTTGCGTAACGTCTTACACGAAGCACGAAATTCCTCGGGAAATGATGAGAATAAAATCGATCATTGATATCGAAACAATTTTAGAGCCGCGAAGAAATCCTTACGCTTCGATTAAACCCGATAGAAACTTTGTCAGCGACGATACGGCGCCGCTAATTTATAAAAATTATTATCTTGCTATCGTGAGAGGAAAATCGTAAAAACACTTTCAAATAATGAATTTTCTGGAATCTATTTTGCATTTAGTTTCACATGAATATTTTCCTTGAATATTTATTAAGAAATGTATTTGTACAACGTACATTCCCAAGTAGGAATTTACTACTGACATCAAAGTGATCCAGTATTGATTTATGGTAAACGTTACTGGCATAGTACTAGATACCTGTACCTATATTCCCAGTACTGGGCCAAGTATCGATTCCTAGTAATTTTTATTATTTGTACAATTGTTAATATCACAACTATATATTACGGAAAAAAAGATCAGAATCACTGGTTGAGGCTGCTCTCGTTTGTACCTATACATATCTATTTTTTAATAGTCATATGAGGAAAAAATCTTCGACGGCGACGGCTGGAATCAAACTCGAGTCTTCCGCTTGTCAGGCAAGCGTTTTTACCATTGAGCTATCTAGGTTTCGCGTTAGTAATCTCTCCTGTTTTCCCATAAAGGACATTGATATCATTCATTTTTCAGTACCAACACAATACTGGTCCAATAACTATTCTATTAACAGATTATATACGATTCTTACTTGGATATCCAGTACTGATTCTACGAACAGGGCCAGCTATTAATACAGCTTTTTTAATACTGGGCCAATACCGGAAACGACAAACACTTTTCGGTAACGTCCCTGTACACGTACGGTATGACTATCCAGTACCTAACCTTAGTACGGAGCCAATACCAATAATACAGCTTTTTTATATTAGGCCCAGTATTGAACCAGTACCAAAACTGGACTCCGCTTTTCGATATCGACCCAGTATTGGCCCATTTTTTCGAATTGACGAAACGTATACGATTCCTACTTGGGTTGTTATTTTTTAGAACTGCTTCTATTTTGTGTTGTACAAAATTTGTAAGAAAATTGTTTGACGATAAAATTATCAAAATTGTTTAATTGGGTGTATAAAAATAAAATGTTTTTCGTTAATAAATTATGTTTATTAAATTATTTTTAATTTTTTTCCTAATTGTTTGAGTTGAATTACTATTTAAGCAACTTATATATATACATATATATATATATATATATATATATGTGTGTGTGTGTATATATAATATATTACTATAATTATATATAATATAATTATTATATATAATATATAATAATAATATATTAATGATATATTATATATAATAATAATAATAATATATATATATACATATTTATATATATATATATTTTTTTTTTATGTACTTAATTATTATAACATAAAGTTTATAAGAAACTATATTTTAATCACACAGTTATAATTTATATATAATTACATCAATTAAAGTAATCATTAAAGCTAATACAATTTGTTTGTTAGTTTATAATTAAAATATGTAGTAATATAAATATGTAGTAATATGTATATGCACAAATATATACATCTATTTTCTTTGTATAAGTAACACATAAAAGTACATAAAACGTTTTCATTCTGTTTGTACTTCGAAAAGAATGTTAACAATTTTCAAAATTGCAGTGTTTTTTACAAAATTTTTTATACAATTTTCAAAATTGCAGTGTTTTTTACAAAATTTTTTATACAATTTTGACTATTACATATCACGAAATTTACTGTACAAAAATATGGAACAAAATCATATTTTTTATATTTTGATGGCAATATTAAATAGTATTTATGTTTGATACGTGATATTATATTATAAACACGTTTTACTCTTAATGGCCGATAGATAAAAACTCTTCAGAGAAATGTATCAAAGTAAATTTTTTTTAAATTAATTACGAATACATATTTGGGTACTCATATTTAGCAAAATTGTAAAAATATTACCGTCAGTGAGAGAACTATCGTAACTATTGTGGACGATATGATATTTTGTCCTGCTGAATTGTCCCATTTGCTATTTTGTTTTGCGGTGTTGATGGCGTAAAAGTAACGATGATAAGCGTCATCGCAATGAGATGGCCAGTCTTTGAAGCATGCCGCATATGCTATGGCGTGAGCAATATAATTTTGCTCAAAAGTACCTCGAAACAAATGCGCATAGGGGCCTGCAAAAAATATAATTTTTCATCATTTTCCGCGACCATTCAATCCGAGAAAAAAAACAAACACAATCTTTGTGAAAATTATACTTAATATTCCATATAAGTTCCATTATACTTCATATTCTTGTAGTGGACTTTAGGATATCGTGAAAATAAAACTGAGATTTAGCGATATATTTGTAATTTAAGCTATTTTTATAGTTCTGAAAGAATTAAAACCGAAATATTTCCTTCTTATATCTCTCAAATGTGTAAATATTTTATGTGAAATTAATTGAGTAGTCGATAGTCATTAATTGAAGTAACTATGGATATCGTTTCCTTAGTAGCAGTTTGTTTGAAAATCTGCATTTCCTACCAATAGCGTAAACCCCGACGTCTTCTCCACCATGAGTCTCATCTTTGAGGTAGATGCCGGCAAAGTTTCTATAAAAAGGTTCACCGCGAGTTGTATCCTCTTTGACTTGTCTCCAGGTCTCGTTGACGTTATTACTGTCGTTTTTTCGATGGTAATAAAATCCTGGACCGTTAATGTAGGCTAGTGTTTCGTAAGGCTTGACGTTCGGTTCATCGGGTTTATTACCGAAGCCAAGGATGTCATTGCCTCTCTTAGGATATCCGTTTAATGAAAACGAATGCGAGTGATCAGCAGTGACGATGATCAATGTTTCCTCCACTTTCACCTGCTGAAGAGCTATTAGGATCGCTTCTTCGAGCTCTGATAATTCACGCATTGCTAGCTTCGCGAAGTTGGCATGATGAGCTAGATCGATTTTACCGCTTTCCACCTGAAGTATTGAAGAACAAAAATTGTTAAATTAATATTTTGTTATGCAACTTCGTCCATTTATTGCTGTATATACACGTGAAATAATGTGTGCAAAATTTCTTTTTCATTATAGCGTAGAGATATGACGCAAAAAAATTAATCTTTCATATAGGAAGACACAGTTTGTCAGGACAGTTGTTTGGTTAGTTAACTTCATTATTTCATCATTATGTAGAATTGCGAGACAATAGTTTGCAAGCGTTATTCTGTCATTTATAGGTATCGACCGCCAAAACTTCGATTTGACGTTACTCACTCCTCTATTCCGGCAAAGATTGCGGCATTCTCAAATTACGCGTAAAATCATATGCTCAAGTAGCGCGACCTAGACTGGCATCCGGGAAGACGAAACCCTAGGAACACGTGCCTAGGAACTCATTACACGAAAATGACCGCGCAATTTGCATAGGAATCGCATCATCATTAATCCGTTGATATTCGTTAATGTACCGTCTCGGTTAATGTGCGTTTCATTAATGTCATTTTAATATCCAAGAGCATGCTAGTTTCGCGCGTAATGCTCGCTTTTTGCGTAACCTGATCCGTATTTTGGCATAAATGTTCATATTGGCGACTACTGACCATCAAAAGAAATCCGTTTTTGTTCTTCTTCAACATTCTTATGGCTTGCAATGTCATATTGGATAACGAAGGCGTCTCGCTGTTCTTCACGGCGTGATAGGGCATGTGACTGCCCGAGAAAATTCCGAGAACGTGAGACGTTTTGCTAATGTCGACGGACATGAGGTCTTGCGTGTTGTTGACGAATTTCCCTTCCGGATATGTCGCTTGCCATTCCTTCACCAAATCTCTACCGTCGTCCCGTGTACAAGAGTCTGCATCATCTGATTTCATAGGCACACCCAAATATTGTCCACCGCCACCCATGATAACCTTTCAAATAATGCCGTTGATATTAGATACAAGGAGCCACATAGTTGCAAATTTTTAATATTTAGAGTAAAGAATCGATACATGTTTAAGTTTTATTGCAGATATTTTTTTCATTATAATTTTAAATTGTCATATATCGTTATACTGGTAATTTTCTTTGATCCTAGCAATTTTCACATTATTGATCAGATAAACAAGATATTTTTCATTTGCCTGTTCGTTCAAATGCTCGTTCGACAGCTCTACTTATATGAATTCTTACCTGCTAATTTTGGAATTGCATTCATTTTTTTTATAAATACAATAGAATAGATGTGTTCAATTACTTTGAATTTATTTCCCGGTTCATCCTCCATAAGTTGTCTCGCGATATCCTTGACACAAGTTCTCTGGTCCGTCGGAATTTTGGTGTCGCACTCCCAATCTCGACTGTTAGTATGCGCGTACAATGCCGCAGGGGTGGCGTGGGTCACACGAGTTGTGGTAACAAAACCTGTTAATGAAATGTGCGCTGATTATTTTCAAAATTTACTTATTCTTCATCGGGATAACTCGAGACGATAGTAGACTCATGTTATATCCCGAGATATTGTACAATATTGATGTTATGTTAAAATATAAAATAAAATCTTAGATTTTAAAGTATGTGCGTTATAGTACAATACGTTGTAAATGATATTTTTATGTTAACTTATTGGCAAAGCTGCAACAAGAAATACACGCACTATTCGGTGACTCGCTTTGTTATACAAAAAGTCTCTATTATTTCGTCAAAGTAGAAATCAGTCACGGCCGATCAATCGTCCTCGACAAGATAGAAGGTCGGCTTATGACCTCCTCGTTTTATTGGGTAGACTTTCACTTGTATAACGAGAACCTCAACGAGGTCCACTCAACACCAACACTTATATTAATGGAATAGTCAATCGCGCGTGACACGTGTTCTCTACAGAATTGAGACTCTACTCACATATCATACATTATTGTGACTGTAATCTTTATATCTAAGCGTTTTATTTCTCAGGATATCGGTAATAATTTAATCTTCCAAAAAGATCAAATCTCTCTCTTCACGGGCAAAACTTGATGTATTATTAATTATTAAAATATACTCTCTCTTTTAAACTTTAGACTAGAAAACTCGTTTAATTAAATAGAAAGAGCTATAAAAATCGACCTCCTGTCATACTATTAATTCTAATGAATGATTTCTTTTTATTACCAATTAAAAAAAAATTAATTTTACTTGAACCTGTATCATCATATGATCATGCATAGATCTCAGTTTGATCATGTAAACATATCGATATTAAAGGTTATGAATAATAGATTTGTTATTTTATATCAGAAATAAAGAGAGATTTACTTGAAAGATTTTCCTCGAAAAAAACAAAAGAGAGATTTAATCGAAAGAAGTTTCGTTATATTAGCCGTTTAATTAACTAATAACATCGACAGCGTACTAAAGATTTTAGTCAGTTTCCTCAAATTGATTTCTACATTCTCAAGATGTTTTATGAGATATATAAATCTCGAACATGATTCTGTGTGAAGGTTCTTTAATGCTTGTAGTTTATTGATAAGGTACTCTATTTGTTGACCGAGCAAAGTTTCGGACGATTAACAACGATTAACGACAATTCTACTATTCGTAAGATTTCTCCCGGTAGTAGAGTTACTTATAATTCGAATCAAATACTAAACCATAAAAACCATAAAAACCTTCTCATCTATAAAATTGGTCTCATAATTTCATTTAAGAAATAAGCAATTTTGAACTAACCGCACCGGACGCGCCGTTTTTGCATTATATGCTATAACTTCGATTTTACAAATTCCTTTCGCAACACGTTGTTTTTATTACTTTAACTTCGAGTAAATAATAAACGCGTGAAAAATTACAGGAAACCTTGAGAAATTATTGACGACAAAAAGTGGAGTATAATCGCTTTTGACGTTACTTTGAGAAAGACACGTTACTTGAAGGATTCTTACCAGTGTCTTTGCCAGACTGTTGCGCCCAGTCAGCTATTGTCGTCAATTTGCTAACTTCGTTGATCTTTTTGTCGCATTGCTTCCTCTGAGCTCTAGCATCCAGTCCCAAAACACTATATCGACATTTCACGCCGGAGAACATAGCAGTGGCCGTTCCCGCGGAATCAGGTACCTGCATGTCCACGTTGTAAGTCTACAAACACACGTGATAGTTGTAAAATGATGATTTCAATTATATCTGTGATTAGAGAGTGATATAATTCCGTCCAATTATATCTGTGATTAAAGAGTGATATAATTTCGTCAATCAATAGAATCTGAAGAAACGATCTTTCGTGCGTCACGTTGGTGTTATCGATTTATCTAGTACCGCTCTCAAAATCTCGACATCGTCGAATAAGTTATCTTGCATTGTCATTTAGATAAAATTGTCATTTAGATAAAACGACGATAGTGTGAACTGCGTTGTCAATGCGTTGTCGCACGGTGAATTAACAACGGGTAACATTGTCACATGTCAGTTCTCACACAGCGCGCGATCGCAAGATCGACTGAGATTAATTTAATGAGGCAACACGTTTGTCGTATTTTCTCGTGTCGCGGATAGGCGCAACGTCCTTATCAAAGCGCGGAATTAAGCGGCTTAACGTGACAGGATTTCTCAATATCGCTTCTTGCGAGACTACTGTCGTCGCGAGTTAGAGACACGTGATTGACAGTAAAATTTAAATACCTTGGCGAGACCGGTGTTGGGGAACTTCTCGAACGCGAGTTGATATTCCTCACCAGACAGGCCTTTGAGCTGACCTTTGTAAATTCGGCCGGACGTGATGGTAGACAGACCCATACCGTCTCCGATGAAGATGATCACATTCCTGGCACGGTTCTCGTTGTTCCGGTGGGTCAGGATCTTGTGCAGGGTCTCTTGGCCGGACTTCAGCCAGAAGGACATATCTGATGAGAGATCAGAGTTTCGCCTTGTTGCCAAGGAGGAGTACTACATCGATCGTGATGCACGAAACGAAGTTATGCAAGACACAAGTTCCAAATGTGTTTTAAAGATGTGTCGTCAAGACATCTCGCGATTTAATCGCAACCGTGTTTTAGACCGCGTAAGAGTAATATTGACAAGTGGCCTTCACTTAACGTAATTTTTTGCTCTCTTTTATAAATTAAAATCTTATCCCTGATACATAGACAGTGGAAGGGAATATAGCTGAAATTAATTGCAAGCGATATCTGCGCAATCAGTCGTTAAATATTCATACAGCTCAGATATCGATTCTATGAAGCACCGTGGGATAAGCGCGGATAAGTTTGGAGAACAAATCGACAGTTTACTTGTTAAAGTGATTGGATACACACGCACACACAATAAGCTCTTCTGGATAGGATAAATTATCAAGAAGAAGAACTTCAAGTATCGGTTAAAGTTACGTCGTTAATATCTTCATAACTTCTTCCTATAAAGACATAAATTGCTCATTATCTCGCAAAATAATATTGACGTGCAAAAATTTTAAGATATTGCGTGAATACCGTGTCGATAATAGACAAAGACCGAACTTTGTGTATATATTATATTATCGAGTTACGCTATGATAAGGTAAATATTTTCATAGTGAGAAACTCCAACAACGACAATGACCTGTTTTTTATATCTTTTCAGAAGCCTACCCAAGTCTATTTTTGCTCAATTTCAATTTTTACGTATATTTTTATATTTTTGTAACTCGTATTTGTCTATTAATATGGAAAGCGTGGAGAACTTAAGATCTCATAAAACGACTTCATCCGTGCAAATCGATCTTCATTAAATGGCAATGGGAATGTTATTCGAAAAAAATTGGTAAAATTTGTAAAATGTAAATTATAGCAGACCTTCGTAATTCGTGGATCCTTTAGACAGCGCTTCAGAATTCCGTAAAACCGCCACGACGCAAAGTAGCAAGATACAACACTTCATTGTAAATGTTTTTTTTTCCTACAACATAGCGAAAAAATAATCCATCATTATTCGAAGACAGTTTTTCCTTATGATCCATTTAATTGCACAATATTTATCGGACAATATTTATCGATCGTTATCAAAGCCAAACGATAAATTCTAACTAAGATAAACGTCTCAGTGGTCGAACATACATGTCCCAATGATTGACATATTGGTTTTGTATTTTTCTTTGTTGAAATGCTTTTCAATATACAAAACAATATAATAAATGAAAAGAAATATTTAGTTATCTTGTGATCTTGTTTCATTTATTGATAAGCATCTTAACAAACACAAGTATATTATTAGTAATTCAATTATCAGTACACGTTCAATCACTAGGACGTTTACCTTAGCGTTAAATTTATTTAAACAAAAATATTTGGCGGGAACTTTATTTCTTCAACAGTATTTAAACTTATTAACAGCTGTTTTAGCTGTTAATATTATACACTCAAGCTTTTTCTATTTTTATCTTTTCGTTCGAAGTTTTTACGGCGTAACGTCAAATGAATAATGAAATGGAACGTACGCCTGTTTTACGCTTGCTTTATTTTGGAAAAAACCTTTGAATCTCTCTCTACGCGTTGAAAGTAAATTCTCGCTAAAAATACAGTCGTGCGCCATTGTCTGTTGCATTTTCTATTTCTAACATCGTTATTACATCACGTTTCACGCGAATTGTACCAATATCTCAGAGAGAATAATTGTCTAGAACTAGCTTTTATCATAAATATTCAAAAACTATTCACGACGTAATCAGTTCTCGGAACCATGTTTCGAGGAAAAGAATGTCGCTAGCTTTATTTTGTCGCACTTCAATGCGCAAAACTCGAGTCTTTTTCACGTGTAGCATGATAACTATACATAAATTAAGTAACCGCAAAGAAAGAATTATTTCCTTTGTGTCACTATTTCATTGTCAACATAATTCGGTTTATCTCCTTCGTTAGTTTCTTTTCTGACAATCTTCACGGTGATAACGCGTTTATTGATATCACAGAGTTAACACAAAATTCTTTTTGATTAACTGTTACTAATTTATTTTATTAGTTTTCTATTAATTTTCTATTAGTTTATTATTAGTTTTCTATATTCTCCTCCGATTTCTTTCACGGAAGATCGTGATATTGTTCGACTAATTCGTAATTTCTCCGACATCTCGTTCAATTCGCAACATCTCGTTTATTTAAGCGACACGATACACATTATATAATATTAGTGTTCTATTAGGGTTCTATTAGTTTTGCATTAAGTGGCCAAAATATGTGATAAAGGGAATCTAAACGAAGTTAAGAGTCAGTCGTCAAGCTAATAAAATTACCTTAACACTTATATATCTTATATTTCTACGATTTTTTCCGTCTACCTTCTCGTGTTTTTTATTTCGGTAAAACTCTACTTGCTCGAGTGATATAAACATTTTTACATTTTTACGTAAACAGCAGTAAATACTGCTTCAATTTCTTCGCGAACAGCTGTTGTGTAACTCAGCGATTCTTTTAATAAAGTGTCGTTGTTATGGCAAGTGCTTTGGTTTGAAAACCTTCTTGTTACGACAATACGTAATTGCACGTAATTACACAAATGACTACGGCTCATTGTACGCAGTTTTCATATTCTTGTGTTACTTAAAGAACTCGAAGAATAGTGCGTTTACTAACAAAATATTTAAAGAGCTTGCACGTTCCAGCGATTCTACAGTAATATTAAATTACATAACAACAATTTTTTCGTAACAACTTTCAGCGATTATCAAGTGTTTACAAGACGTGTCCTCTCTCACCTTTTGAATCAAGAATATTTGAAAATTTATATTGTTTCTTACTCAAATGCCAATTTACTAATAATTATGTTAACAATTATTTGCTATGTAATTTTTCCAATTGATCTTGTAAAAATTTTCCCCGATTTCTTTCACGGAAGATCATGATATTGTTCAAACAATTCGTAATTTTCCCAACATCTCGCAACATCTCGTTTATTCGTGCGACACGATACACATTATATGATATTAGCGTACACATACGAACGGGGTCGCACGTCGACCCAGTTCCTGCTCGCCCGTCTCCTCAGCATCACCAGAGTGTCAGTTGGACTCTTTGCACGTGTTTCATGTGCACCCCGAGGTGCGGTACATCGGCTTTAATTTCATGCGCGGTAAATAAAGCGAAAGCAAACTTGTGGAACCTACCTGAACGAAGGTGTCGGGAAGTAGGTGTCGGAAATGTTGGCACTGTTTGACAGTGTCAATTCGACGGTGCTGTAGACACGTCAGTTAAATGTTACCTGAGCGATACATGATTTAAAACGTGACATCCTCGGAAGAGAAACGGCACTGCGGCGGAGCGTTTTTTAAATCGAGAATCACGTGTAATCACCTCGTCGCGTCTACTGCTTGATCGGCTGCCGATAGGAACTCGTGGAAAAACCGTGATCGTAATTCTTTCCAAATCGCGACGCGGCCGGAAAGCGCGAGTTTAAGCCGAAGCGGAGATACCCGAGCGAGCCCGCGAACGAGCCAGCTTTGTCACTTTATATAGCGTTTCAAAGGCCGTGGCGGATTGTGCACGAGGTGGCGAAGCGTGCAAGGGACACTGGGTACGCGGGTTCTGCGTGCGGCAAGGGGAAGGGGATCCCCTCGTGTATTGCTAATCCGACCGTAATTGACCGGCTCGGTGCCATTTTGTCTTATGTCCGCGATACAGATTAATTCGTGTGCGTCCCGACGCGGGAGCACCTAACCGCGAATTCTTCCTCCGTCTCGAGGAAGAGAAAAATCGCGCCTCAGCCATTTTTTATCCTTCTCTTTCTTTTTCGACGAATTCTAATTCGAATATCGGCTATCGGACTCGGAGAAATTTTCACCAGCGGACGCTTTTACGAATGTGAAATCGATAATTATGTCATCCGATCGTGTCTTTGAAGCTTGGCTCGCAAAGGTTTTCGTACACTTCCCATCGTTTCGGGCTCAAAAGTCATTGGTTCTTTGATATTATTTCCCCTTTTTTTATGGGAAATCGATCCCGTATCGGTTAAAGGATTGGTGTTTTACATTATTGAAATCGATAACTTCAGAAAATTTCGTATATATAAGTGGAGAACTTTGTATACGTCACATTTTTGAATTTGTGTTGAATATATACATTTCTAAATATAGAACTACGGTATATCTAGACTATTTCGTTGCATAAGCATGACAGTTTATTATTCTTTCCGCCAATTAATTGCAATTTGAAAATTTTTGTACGATTCCAAGGATATACATATTTCTATCGCGAACTACCGTTACTTCACATGGAAGCTTTTTCTGCTATTGACACAAGAAAGAAATGTATCCGCATCATTACCTCTAAATCTTTTCATTTCAGCGAGTGATGGTAATGTAAGGCGAGCAAAACAACTACATAATTTAAATTGTTGAAACGTACAAATAAACAATATATCATCGTTGATAAAAAAGTAAATTATTTATTAATAATGTTGTTTCTGAACATACACATTTAATAATATAGCGTTTCTTAATATGTACACTATCACGGTTTATTCAAGAAATAAACAGTATATCGTCGTTAATTAGGAAGTAAATTAATATGTTATTCCTGAACACACACTTAATAATATAGCATTTCTTAATTTGTACACTACCACGGTTTATTCAAGAAATTCTCTCCACAGACCACATTACATTTGTTTTCATTGTGTACAACAAACTTGATTTGTTTACATTTGTGGATACACAAGAAGAAATGTCGTTGAATCTTTAGTAAAGAGATAAACTTTAAATAAAAGATCGACGTGTCACACATGTATGACGCTGGTAACAAACATATTAGTAAAGATGAATTCCAATATTATTAATCGAATAATGTTTTAATGATTGTCTCCGGGAAAACCATAAATATTTCTTTCCAAGAAAATATGTCATCTCAATCAACATTTAATCATTCGGAATAATACGTTTTGCGAGATATACAATGTTATTATCGTAATACAAAATAGGGATTTGAGTTTACTGACTAATAACTAATAAAATAACTAATTTATTCATGTTTAAATATAGTCCTTATATTTAAATCTTTTCGCAATGTTTCAGCTTATTTCGCGCCTGTTACTCAGAATGCTTATCGTATTTGATCTCTCACTTGTAATTTATTTCATATTTAGATGACGATAGTATCGTCGTTAACGTAATTATAATTCTGTTAGGACGGAGATTGTTCAGCTATTTTTCATTATCGACAGTAACGAGCGAGTATCTCCTTAATAACAATTTTAATGTTATTTACTGTTTAAAAGATACATTGGTTTGTCAGTATGTTTGCAAACAGTTGTATTGTTCTCTAGTCTTGATCTTTATATAAAAAAGATAACGCGAATAATTATAAAATTAATTAATTATAAAATTTAATTAAATTAATTATTAAATTAATAATTAATAATATTTAAATTAAACATGTAAAGACTTGTACGTTTTTATGAATTCAGTAGCGATATGTTAATTAATACTTTTATAGCTTCGCATGAAATATATTTGCAGAGTCATAAGTATCAAATTATCTTATTTTTTAGTTATTAAATTTAAATATTCTGCTTTTTTATCTAATTTCAGTTATTTATGGAAAATTGTAAATATTTCCTTGTATGCGTTGAGCTCATTGTGACTCATTGCATAAAGACTGTTATCAAGACTACAAATTTATTGCTTCACATTTATACATATTGCTACAAAATACATGTGACTAACGTTATCTTGTGTGATGGTCAGTAATAAAAGAAAAAAAAAAACAGTAGAATTAAAAGGAAAAATTTTAACGTTGACGCGGGCGCGTATACACAAATTCATACATGATTTGTCTCGTGATTTAATTATAAAATAAAATCAATCTAATCCACTAGTGTATTTTCTCTCTCTCTCTCTTTCTCTCTCTTTCGTATATTTGAAACGTTATTGTTAAGATTCTTATTTCGAAGCTAATATTATCATATTTATCGATAAACAAGATCTTTTCATCCTACTGACGTACTTAGATAATCGATGATACTATTAGCATCTATTATTTCAAGCATTTTTCCTAGAACATGACACCTGCGCAATAGCGTCCCGATCAGCAAGTTCTATCTTCACTCTCTTTCCTTCTCTCTCTTAGCGACTCCTATCTTTACTAGAGTATAAGAAAAAAAGAAAATAATAAACATAAGTAGGCATTTTTCGATCGATACGTCCGCGATATTTTAGAAAGTTACAATATTCTCACATTTAGATTCTCTTCGACATTATCGGAGCATCGAGACATGTTTTTGTGTTTTTCGCAGATTGCGCAACAATTGGTAAAAACAGTGGAACCTCATCTATTATAAATAGTAACTTTATGAGAACGCAGTATAATAATCCAGGTGCTATCGAATATCGTATTTGAGGTACTTGAAGAGTAATGTTACCCAATCACAAGCCCGTAGCTTGTCTATAGTTCCAACAGGTGAGACTCTGGTCTCGTGATTGTCAACTCATATAGATACGGGGAACAGTCTCACTTGCGATTCACGTGTGTGCTTTGCCCTCGGCTCGTGAACGGAACACGTGATAACGTAATGAGACATGTTTCTATGATAATGCCGTCGTGATCGGCTGTTGATTATCATGATCACGATGTCTCGCCATGACGAAAAACGAGAGATTTTCTCTCGTTATCACTATATATCACGAATAATGACGTGGTACAATGATTCGTTTGTCTAGATATGATTTTTCTCGATTCTCGTTGCCGCAAGAAGTATGTATATGCGTTGAAGAATTGCGCAACTATCGAGATAGGAATTTACTCGGATTGACATGGGACAAAGATGTGAATTTATAAACGATTTCATGATGTTATCGCGTTTTTATCGCCAGTCTTATCACAAGTACGGTAGTCGCGGAGCTTATGCTTACAAGCATAATTATAAATTAGAACAGGCACAAACAGTGATCTCAGACGTCTAAAACTTAAGGCTCATCGAAGTATCGCATTGATAACAAAAGAATCATTAAAGTTCTGTGGCGCAACTTTTGAAATAAGCTTGAAGCACAATTATTTTATCCATGACGGATAACGCAAGACTCGCGCACGATAGATGATAAAAGAGCCCTTACTCACAGCGAAAAAGGAAGTTCGTCTCGATATCGATAACGAAGAAACCTACGCTCGGCGCTCCGGCGTTTTGCGTATAGACAGTGACATCAGAAGACACGTGGACCATTAACACAAAGAGAGCAATTAAATGAAATACATAGCAACATATCGCGACGAGTCATGAATATATCTAGTATTAATATACTGTAATATGCGATGAATGCGACACAGTACGTCTCGCGCTGAGTAACAGGGCGACTTTAAACGCCGCTGAACATTCAAGTTGCATTTAAATAAACGCGGCTTTTAAGTCGCATTTTCTGTACAAAATACGTGTTATTTGACGTGTTGCTTTCAGTCGCGTGTCTCGCGTCAAGTGGAGCGCATCCCTTTTGCGCGTTCTTTGTGTGCGCGCGGCGTCTTCTCGGCGTTTGCGAAACAGACGGGCGAATATATATATATATATATATATATATATGCGCGCGCTCACGTAATAACGGCTGCAAATGCGGCGGAGGAGGTAAAGTCGTATCACGGAGAAATGCGACGGGGGTCGTTGTCCCTTACGAGATGGACTGTATAACAGCCGAGTGTTGCGTTCGCTACGGTATTATGCAGGAATCTCTGTGACGTGGAGCCGTGCACTGGGATATCCGTGACCGTGGCTGCGAGAGATGCCACATCTCGCTTCTCCGGCTGCGACGATTTCGTTATGAAATGCACAGAGAAGTGCAATCTGCACATAGTCGCACTTACAACTGCGCCCTAAGGATGAGATTCGCCGCGCATGCGGCTATGTGCACTCGGGGCAGTTTAGGGGGTAATCGTTCGGGATGAGGACACATTCGTTTTATTTTCCTGATCTTGTCGAGGAACAATACAATTAGATATTCTCGGGCAAATGTTTGTTTTCCTGTATTGACTTGATTTTCGCTGTAAAATTGCAGGTGGACGATATATTTGTTTTATAGTTTTAGGTGTCCATTAATTCATCGGCGAAAGGTTTAACGAGACAGCGGGGAATGTAATTCAAATCCGGAACCGCGGAGCTTAAACTAGAATTTTTGAAATAAAAACAGTTGGTTATAGAGTAACTTTTGCAACTTTTACACGGTAGCACGATCTCATTACTGACGCAGGCACGGTGAAAGTGGTGCAATATAAATTTGTTATTCGCGAAATGAAACATGAGAAACGGTTCGATTTCCATCGAAAAATAGTCGAAAAATCGTTCGACAGAAGCTCGCGCTGGTTCGTGTCGCGCTGGTATAGGTGCGCTCCATATGCATCTCGTTCTGTGCCATACGTAACATCCACGGTGCAGATCCGCGTAAAACTGCACGTGCAGCGCGCGCACGCGCAGGCGACCGAGCGTTAATTGCAAAAGCAAACAATTGTTTTGCGCGAGGTGAGCCCGCCATCGTGCCACGCGCGCGCGGATTTTCCACGGCGACAACTTAGTTTCGCGCTTCGTGCATACGTCACACACACTGTCGCGAAACACGAGCGCGGATTTGACCGCGTAAAAGGCGAAAAACCACGTCACGAAACTTTCGCGTTGAGTGTCGAACGCCTCTCTCGACGCGCGCGCTGAATAGGCACGACCCATGTATGCGTGGGATTGCCGTCGCGTTACAAAGAAAGCTAATGAAGTCGCCGCGTTGAATGCGTATTTATGCGTTAAATTAAAGTTCCTTAAATATGCAAATCACGGGCACGTCGCGACAGATAGTGTTCCCGTATGCTCCGAATAAATTTGATTCGTATGGGCAGACAGAATCCGTTTACACCGAGTTTTTCAGAGCTTCACGTGAAAATTGATCACGTATATCATGTGCGTATCGTTTTGCACATCCGCTATTCACATCTTTGTTGCAAAATGAAGATTCACGAGATAAACGATAAAAAAGAGAACTTCTGTATTTACCAGGTTATCTTAATCGCGGTGTAATCCCACGAACAGTTACGATGATTTTCTTTCGTAAACTTCTCGCGACTACGAATCCTTGATAAGGAATATTGTTTTATCCACGACTGGCGGAGGGGCCCAATGGACGGATACCGGAGGATATATCTTGCGCGTGCTGATAAGAAACTTTGAAGCTCTTCTCGCTAAAGTCCTCGAAAGATTAGAGTACAACTCGCTTCAAGCTTCTGCCGGGTAGCTTTCATAAATCTTATATTTTAATATTTGCGTGATACTCTTCTCTTACACGAAATACGTCGTTTACAAAGAAATTATAATTTGTATAAATCTTGTTTAGTATGAAAGAAGAGAACTATTATAAATCCTGTGGATCAGTAATCAATTTTTCATAAGTTTTATAAAAAAGAATCTCAGAAAAAGAAAGAAATATTTCTATAGAAATTATATGAAATATATATTGAATAAAAATACCGAGTAGAAAGATCAAAGATCCAAAACGAGAAGAACGTAATATTAACAAAGAAAATTACGATATTGCAATATGTCGTGTTATAAGAACGCGTTGCAAAGTATATATCCTACTTCTTCGCATCACAAAATTTTATCTCCTGGAACATAGATGAAAATTTAGTATTTGTATGTACTAACACTCTTTATCACGAGCTTTACATCCACCTACCTACCTACCTACCTACCTACCTTATCTGTAACGCGTCTGTGAAACAGTGTTTAGGAAGTAGAACGAGGCTACTTCTGCACAAAGTATAATGTATGTCTCGTGTTTCAGATGTCTTATTAGTAATTAATTTATCCGTTAACCAGTTTTCTCTCTCTCTCTCTCTCTCTCTCTCTCTTATCACCCTCGGCGAGCTAGGTCTTTCGTATCCTTTAGTGACCCGACCTCACGGCTGTATCCTACGTCCAATATCCCGCATCCTACGAGACCTCGGGGCCACCGCGTGACACGTACGCGCATACACGCACACGCGCGTACACACATACACATACAAAAACACACACATACCGAGTATGGGTTACAGGCGTACGTACACAGGCTACGTAATAGGGAATATGCAAACTTGGGACGCGAACGCGAAGTAAACACGGACCGTAAACTGCCGTGTTAATTTCAAGGCCGGGCACACGGTAGAACCGAGACGCTCGCTGTTTTAATTAACCGCGGACCAGACTCCGCCGTGATATCGTGATTAAGAATTATGACGCGTAGCAGGGGAGGTGTCTACACGTGCGTGTACACACGCACTCACGGCCATAGCTGTGTTTCTCGTCAAACACCACTGTACCGGCGGAGGATCGTTTGCCTTGCGGAATTAGAGGGCGAATATCGTTTAAAGTTACGACATGTTCGTTCTTTCTTTTGTCTTATACGCGCGGCGCGCTGATGAGACTAGCGTTGCTTGCACTCGCGCGAAACTCGTGATTCAGGAATATCCTTCATTCGCCATGCCGCGGGACAGACTTCATTGGCACTAAAGCATGAGATTAACTCGGTCTATCGCGTTAATATTAAATTATGCAAACTCGGGCTTCTCTGCCGGAACAGATTGATATTTGAGATACAGCTACATCGGATGTAGCTATAAAAGGGATAATAACGCTCACCTTTCGCGACTCTGGCAGGAGAGAAATCTCTAAACGGATACTTCAGCGACTTTTCAAATTGCGAAAACGGACGTATCTCTACCGCGCTCATCCTTTAAGTCCGCTTTGATTTCTCGCGATATTTCAGCAAGTTGGTACTTTATCTTCTCTCTCTCTCTCTCTCTCTCTCTCTCTCGCACATGAATAAATCATAATTTACATCTGTTGACCGTTGCTTTTCGAGCTTCCCCGCGACGCGTTATTTATCGTTCGTGTCTACGTTCCACCAGAGAGTCCTTTTATTGAAATACTATTCCGATGGTTCTTCGCAGCGACAGTGGCAATAGCTACAACCACGAGCAACGTTCATGGCACCTAACAGACTCATTAATGACGGAACAAGGCAAATCCCGCGTTTTATTCGGCGGTTGTACTCGTAAATCCGGTTTGAGCATAAAATCGAGCGTTCCGGCCGGGCCTTTATGCGATTGCCGTGACATAAATGAATGCGGCCTATCAAGCCGCACCGCGGTATATTCCGATTTAATTATACCACTTTTGCTACCACGTGACGGCTCCATGAACTCCGATCACGATATGACATCGTAAAAGCGACTTTTACACACCGCCAAACGTGCGTTTGCGGACGTTTGCGGACGGAAAATGAACATAGGCAGGAGATAAAATAAAGCAAAGATCAAGATCTTTTTTTCTAGGAAACCAAACAATATGATAAAAATAGCTCATAAAATCCTCCTGCATTTTTAGGAATTTCCAATTATATGATGGGAAATAAACGAGAAATATATACGA